AACCCCACTTCCTCACCTTTCTGATTAATAGGATGCACCCAATGAAGGCGCTCACGCCTTTGTCTTTTTCGACGCCGATACAATAACCAAGCTATAATTTGCCCCCGATTCATAGTCACTGTACAATACTTTCCTCAGAAATGGTGACAATGAGCGTATGTATCTGAATAATGTTTTTGTACGGTTACAAATCCTGTGATACCTACGTTTAAAATCGTACAGTGGGAAAGCAGCTACACCACGATATAAACTCGTACGACTTTTGATCGTGCGAGCGAAAACGTGTAATGTGCAACCAGCGTTAGGATTTCTTACCGGTTATCCCTTAAGGGCAGAGTCTTTTAGTTAACACGTTCCCAAGTCGACTGTCCCGATTTGACCATCGAACCCCCTTCACGCGCTAAACTTATTGATGAATGAATGATTTTTTTGTACATAGCTCAAGATGGGTCATTCGCTGTTTTTTTTATTTTGCTGATTTAGTGAAAACTGATACCAACTAGGTTAGAAATCTTCTTCGTCTTTTTCGATGACTTCGTGAAGTTCTATAACTTTCACAGTAACCAGAACTATGGAGTTTCCGTTAATTTCTGCTTATACATAGATAATTCTTTGAAAAAATTCTTTTCGTTTACTGTTGCAGAATGCCAGTGCGCTTATTTTACAAGTAAATGAACTCGATACCTGTTCTATGAATTTTGAAAGAACTAGAACGAACAAAATAGCTCAAACCCCAACGTCAAAACACGACACTATAGTTGTCCGAAGCACTTCAGGGACTGGAGTGCTTCGGACAACTTCAGTCTCTGAAGAAGATAAACTTGTTACCGAAAAGTGCTTCGTGTTTTGGCGTTGGGGTTTGAGCTGTTTTGTTTGTTGTACAACAACCGCCAAAGTTTTTCCAATCTTCGTATTTTGAAAGAATTACAACTTTATGATTATGAAATATTTAATTAATTTTGAAATATGTTTTAAAGTCTAAAGTAGTTTTTTAGTTTCATTGCTTCGTACCAGAGATGATGTCCATTGAGACTTGATGTTAAGGTAGAGAATTACCAGTATTAAAAGTTTTAAAGAGTTTGACAAAGGGACATTTTCCGCAAGAGTCTATAAATAGGATGATCAAAATTATCTATGAGAATAGACGTATCTTTTTCTTGTTTATCCTTGGGACTGCAGTCATTGGCTGTGTTTTGGACAAGCCCTTGTTAAGGTAGGAATAGCTTCATGAGTAGTGCAGACAAAAAGTGAAATGTGATAACCGAATAATAGTGCAGCCCTTAGAGGTTGCTTAGGTACGTTAAAAATTATGGTCGGCTTTATAACTACCTGGTTGGAATTATATCTTTAAATAAACGTCTTTGCTCTTCTAAATTCCTGAGAATGTTGAACTTCCTTTAAAGTGCGATACCGACAACATGTTAAAAAAAAGGGCGAAACTAAGTCAAAAATATGATTTCCATTTGTTTGCCATATAATTTAATATAAAAAGCTAATAGAGACTGAAATCGCACCGGTGTTATACTATATAGGTACCTTATAATTTCTTGAGGTACGGGTACCGATAGGGACCGATATTCATTCTTCCCATCCTTCTAAAAATTTAGTACTTATAAACTTAAACATTGTTATATATATTTAGGAATTTCATTAGGTCAATTTTTAATAGGCCGCATATGAATTGGTGACCAGGAACCGATAATAACGTAGTCAACGTGATAATAAATCGTTTGTAAACCTATTCTTCTTAAAATTAAAGGCAAGTATTTTAAAGAAATTGGAAATTTATTGTTGCAGAAATGAATAGAGGGGTTTCCCTGAGTAGTGCTTCAATGGGACGTTTTTCAATTCCATGACCAGTTTTTCCGTTTAGCCTATTGATAAGCAGTATTGTTTACGTTCTCCATGGTTGTAGCTTCTAATTCATCTAAATCTTCATCTATTGTCTATTGCATCTAGTTGACACCGTCCAGAGTTTGCTACTTATTTCAGAAACATCCTGTATATTAGTGTATAAATTGCTGCAATTCGGAGATTGTATGAGCGCTTCTACTATTCTGTGAAAACCCATTATTAAAAGGCTTTTTCTAAGTGTTGAAAGTAAATTTCAGCATTGAATTAATGTAATTACAGTTTTGAAAGTTAAGCAGTATTAAATTTTGATAAAGGTTATACATACATTTTATTTTATTGAAATGTATTCGCTTCATTACACGTAATAACATCATTTCATTTTCATAATTACCTGAATATAAAAAAACTCAGACAATTGCCTATTGAGGACGTTTATTGTTATTATGAGCACTAGTTTTCGATTACGTGCATTACATATAAACATAACTTACCGACAATGCGTGTAGTTCGACATTCTGTAGAATGCCTAGAATCCTAATATTCCCAAGAAAGTCTGTAATGCTTAGGCAATGTATACAGTAATTTACTGTATTCCCAAAATCTAACCATTCTATAGAATACCAAAACTATTGCCGGCAATATGTAAAATAGATTAATAATTGTAAATGTATTAAACTTCGATCCACAGTCGATATAATTATCCATTTAATTAATTATAGAAAAATTGTCATTTTATACTTTACCTTATTTAGTGTAAAGTCTTCACCTTGCATTCAAGTTCGGGTTTGTTTCCCCAGGAGCATCGAACCCCCTCTCTCTACTTTATTATTTTTTCTTATTTCTTGCTTTCATTTTGTAGGTTTCATACATATGTAAACATTCTCTGTCAAGCATGCTATGTTTAAACATTTAGTAATTATCTGAGAGACCCCAGCATTCTATAGAATGTCTAAATTGTAGACATTGTGGTAACATACTTACAGGTCATTTCAAACGGTTAGAAATACGATTTTGGGAAAACGTGCTCGAATAGAAGGGAGACGTGATCAAGGCAGAAGTGTTTCGACTTAGGTAAATTAGATTGCCCAATATGATTATTTACATGTTTCCTCTGCATCATTGATCCAACCAATAACATAAATACATTATTGCCTTCATTAAATATTGATAAGTTGAGTATTTGTATTATTAATAGGAATTTGACAATTAATACGCAATGCTATGTGTAGTTTGTCCTAGGAAAACCTGTTTCACCTGAAATTGAACTGGAGTATTTTCTATCTCTGGATACACTAAAATGTATTTTTTTAATAAAACGTAGAAATCGTCTAGTTGAAACTGGATATCTCATCCAAAATGCAAATGTGAAAAACTGGTTATGTTTTGATATGCCTTCCATCAGTCCGTACGACGACTGTAAGAGTTAAATCGATGTATAATTCAAATGTATACAACAAAATTGTAGTAGTTATCTATGTTGAATCCAAACTAGGTCTAGTTTTCGCGAAAACAGTTTTAATTTGAAACTGGGCAGTTTTTCTATGAGGCTTTCTTCTATCTAGTTGTTATTTGCTGCTACTAAAGTACCTCTTGTGTTATTGCGTAAATTGCTAACCAAACTAATAAATAAAACTTCTAAAAAGAAAGTTTGTGTAATATCGTAGTACAGGCACTGTATCGCCATCTAGTTGATATTTGCTGCTACTGAAGTATTTCATGTGTTAGACGAGACGTTTGTTGAGAGTCAAAATAAAATTCGGAATCCACTTTTGGATGGTATTCAATTTGTGAAAATCACAGCAAACTAAAACACTTGCTCATTTGTTATATTGTTTGGTATTATGTAGCATTGAAGACGCTAGAAATATAACTTTCCCTACCCCCAAGGGTGCTGAGAATGGCTGAACTAATCAATCTTGCTCAATCTAGCTACTACAGAGAATACGTACGTAAAATACCGTCAGCCTAGGAATATGTCAGCTGGAGTACCTTAGCGGCATGGTCTAGAGGTTTAGGCCAGAGCAGGGCAAACTTTAACTTCGTAGGAGTCGTTACCTGAGATTAGTTTGGGTCACTCCATACATACCCTTCAATAAGTACGAGAGGGTAAGCAGTGATGACCATATTGCTTTCTCTTTTTCTTCTCCCTTCCACTCCCACATCAAGTCCCTTCATTCCGTAGACGAGCGAAGCCTCTCTCGTAACTTAAATAATACCTACGAAAATTTTCTAATGATCGTCCCGCAGCTAGGGGGTAGCATGTCGGACTACGGTCGCAATACTATTGGGTTCGGTTGTGGAAGAGGGGACTCACCTACGAAATGGAAGGGATAGGAAAAGGAAAGAATCATCTCACTCGCACTCGCAGGAGTAATGAGGACTTCCTTGGCTATACCTGAGGAGCACTCGGGAGTTAAAAGAGCCGAGTTTGCTAGGCTTTGGTTTAAACCATTACTTAGCATTCGTGAGGGGGTCGGTTCTATTCCGGGTTCGTCTGTCTTGGTCCAAGTTTTTCTGTGGTTTCTTTGGATCACTTAGGCAAATGCTGGGGCAGTAATATTACACAGATAATCTCTCATTCTCTTCTGTCTTCATTTTGTTCGTCTCATCTTTCTCACCCGAACCACCACCCATCTATTCCCACGATTCCCACGATTCCTGAAAGGAGGTTCAAGAGGGCCTCTCGCCCTACCGTCCGGCGTAATCTGTAGAAATTGACCGCCTACCGGCATTAGTGGCTGGTGGAAATAAAACACCCAAAAGTTTAAGTTTTTTTTTACAGCTGGATGAACGTTAAGACGGTATGTCATGTAAGAAAAAAAACACTCAAGCACAGATACATTGCACGTTTACGTAAGGGGGAACAGTCAGGTCACGCCTTGCGGTTCCGTTATGTCCGGAGAGTAGGGTCAATAAATTGATGAATTTTGCTTTCCGTAATTAAGGACAGTCCCCAGTTCATTTGAAGTACTTAAAGTAACTACTGAAGAATGACAAAAATCGAGAAGAAACTGCGGCGCGGCGAAACGTTAGCGCTCTTGTGCGCAACGACCCTGCGCCGTTGAAAACTGCTGATCGTCTTCGAATCTATCTAATGGTGCGCTGTCCAGCTGCAACTTCGCCTATTGTAGGTACGGTAGTTGTCCGGTGAATGCGGTGTGAAACTCCAAGGAAGGGGTCCGGTCACGTCATTGAAAACTCAACTGAATTATTCGAAACAGGTTTACGTAGCAGTGTTAAATACCGTTTTAAATCGGCGTGCTCCTTCTCTCAGTCGCTCATCGTGATAGTCTATTTCGTGTCGTTGATTCGTGTGTTTATTTGTCGTCGCAGTAGACCGTGAAAATAGCCAGAGAAAAAAAAGTTCCGAAATATCCGCAGACGCTATCCATATCAAACCAATCGCAATGTGAACTAAACATAAACGTCCCCAACTTTTGCCACTCGAAAGTTTTACTTCGCGTAATAACGTGCGCCTTTAACAAGATCAAAGTGCTGAAGTTCGCTTATTTTACAATTAGTTCGAATGTGCAGATGTAGGTACACATCGCAGTTTGGAAACGTACTTGCCTATGGTATTATACAATACATAAGCATACATACATACAGGTACAAGTCGACTTTGTGTACCTACACGTGTGTAGTGTGATTGTATGTGTGTGATCTGCAAGGCCAAACAAACAAACTCTATTGTTTAAGTTGTTAAGGAGCTCAATCGTTATTAGAAATGATAAGCAAACCTCCAGATATGGTAAATATCCTTTTTTTTTTTACTTTAAATAAACTAACAATGGTTTTGGGTGTGTTATTAAACTTCCCACTTTCCAAAATCGTCGGATCCATTGAAGTCATTTTTGTCGCGAAATGTCTTGTATAACTTACTACACACCTACGGGTGCGAAATGTTTATGAATTTTTTGTAAACGTGACCTTATACCTACCTTTTTAATTAACAATTAGGTAATTTTTATGCGTACATAACAGTCAGGCAATTAAAATAGAAGTACATGAGAGCATTCCGTACCTATTCCAGGCATTAAAAGGGCCCATTCTAATAGGCCGTTTTAGGTCACTCATGTATAATAAGGAAACGAAATGTAGTTTTAATTACTTACTCGAGAATATCACTGATGGCTATTGAAAAATGTACCTACTATAAATCTAATAATTGAATTCTTCGCCAAAATAAGTTAACAATAATAAGATAATGGTACCAATTAGACACTATGACGACCTTCACATTAAGTTGCTATAATGGAAAGATTCGCTTGAGTCTTTTTTCATTGCAGTGACGTAATCGAGATTTTTATTTTTATTACATAACACCAGACTACCTGTAATATTAACTTCACTCTACTTATCCTGTATACCCATAAAGCGTTTTTATACACTAGTGGCAAGATCCGAACCTAACATGGGGATAGCCGGTGAGAACGGACAATATCTTCTTAATTTTACCACTACAAATTACCTCAAATTAAAGGAAAATTATTGCTATTGTCATACCCTCACCGGGAATCGAACCCGGTACCTTTGGCTTTACGCACCAATGCTCTGACGACTAAGCTATGAGAGGTGACAACAGCAACAACGACAAACCGTACTTATTAGGCTACAAATCTGCCGAATTAAGTATCTATATTAATACTATATGAACCATTTTGACATTTAATAGGAGTTGATATTAATAATGCAAATTCAATTTTATTTTTAATTTTCCCACTACAAATTACCTCAAATTAAAGGAAAATTGTTGCTGTTGTCACACCCTCACCTGACTACTATTCTCTTCCTGCTTGTTACCACTTGGAACATGCCCTTGTTATGTTAGGCAATGCTTCATGAGTAGTACAGACAAAGTGAAAATAGATAACTGAATAATAGTACGCGGTGCAGCGGTTAGAGTTTGCTTAGGTACGCTAAAGATCAGGGTCGACTTTATAACTGCCTGGTTGGAATTATATCAATCTATAACAAGCGTCTTTGCTTTCCTAAATACCTGAGAATGTTGCACTTTCCTTAAAGTCCGATGCTTGCAACATGCTGAAAGTCTGCTTGAGTGTATCTTTAACTGTTACACATCAATTGATGTAATGTTATTCCTTTTTCTTTATTAGTGTCCGCTGCAATTCCTACCTGACATCTCTTTTCTATGTTTACGACATTCCCTACAAAGTCTGTCGTAAGTAAAAGTAAGCATTCTGACAGCAACCGCTCCAATCTAATTAATAAGTTGAAAGAAGAAAGTAAATGCCACAGTTTTATTGCGGACTTTGCCAATTTTAAACGTCCCAACTATAGGTACATGCTTCTCATGCAGGTAAATAATAAAGTAATAGATGCAAGTCCAATAAATACAATTTAAAGCCATTAAAGGTGTTACGATTTGTTTAAAAGATTATAAAATTTCGTTTAGTTTAAGTCAGTTTTCAAAGAAAAAAATCCGACAAAGAAATATGTAAATGTTCGGTGATCGTTTTTCCTTACCTGTATAATGATATATTCTTATCATATTTGTCATTATTTTACTTATTAAATTTGAATCTCAGCCTTCTACGTATTTATCACCCATTATAAAACTTGTTTTAAACGTGATTGTTGACAATAATTATAATTTTCATTTATTAGTCCTGGTCGAATCTAGGATTGCTTCCACGATTGGAGCTGAAATTGATTTAACGCCGGCGTTTTAGGTTAGATCGAAGAAGTGACCCTACTTTACAAAGTATAGATACATGTTATGATGATACAGAACCATAATTTTTGAGGAACCCTGTTCAAGCCTTACCTTAGTAAAAATTAGGGTTCTGTATAGTTAGTATTATGACTATTATTTCGTATAAGTTGTCCTTGCGAGTTATTGTCAAAAGATTGTATATTTATTATTGTTAATTTCATATGACTGCTTTAGATAGGTACGTAGTCAGATAAAAAAAATCCAGTTCGATTCATTATTGTTTTAAAAAGGTAAAGAAACTCAATTAACTTTCATATTCTCTCATGAGACCTCTAAACAAATACGTCCTTCTAACAATTTTCTGTACAATCATTTCTTCTGGTCGAACAATGCTTGCTCGCTCCATCTTACACGATTAAAGAGCGCTGGTTCTCACAATTTTTTATCGATGCGATACGATGAATTGAGCAAAATCCAACTTTCTTCGTAGAACTAGGTTTTTAGGTGTATGTGTATGCATATAGGTACATATATACGAGGGTGGATTGATAAGTTTCCGGCCTAACCAAGAGATGACGCCACTAGGCCTACCTTGAGGTGACATTCTATAGTACCATCCTTGGATAGCTTGTAGCTATAGTTTCAGCCCGATCTCCTTGCTAGNAAATTTTATTATTTTTTAGCTAAACCCGCAACGTTCTAATGGAATTGTTCGTTTACTTTTCTTCCATGTTCCCCGCAAATAATTCGTTTCGTGACCCATTCTGGAATAAAATCAGCTAGTTAAAACTATTTGGTGGATAATATTATGTCAGAAAAATTCTCACGTACGTAGGTACTAAGCAATTAAAAATATAATCGTGTCCCCGATAAAAAAACCTAATAATTTCCGCCTTATTTTTTAACCTGGGCAAAGCAAACGAGCGTAAGACGATACGCTTGTGTAAATTGTTTTTGCACAAAAGGGTCTTTGAATATGGTGGATTAAAAAGGAGACCTTTTGGCTGCTGACACCTGTACATGGAGATTGTATAGAGGCTACGAACAGCGGGGCAGAACAGGTTGAAATGCCTATGTCCCGCAGCGAAGGGCTCGTATTCTACTTACCGAACAAAGCTCGACACCCTTCATAAATAAGTTAGAACTGCTTACCTGAGTTTATTTTTAACAACCAACTACTGACTCTACTGACCAGAGATTCTGAAAAGTGCATGCTACGATGCATTTGAAAATGAAGAGAAAGAAAGCAAATATAGGAAACGATTCCTTATTTCAAATTGTGAAACTGTGATGGAAAAAATTCTGCATGTGTTTAAATAGAAACAGTGACGATTCATATAGTTTAATCTATTATAATGTATAACTACTGTATTAGAAAATACCACAAATGGCGCGATAAACGCCAACTGTAGTACGATGCTACATTTTAGGATTACGTATGCTCCAACAAGGTCCATTTAAATATATGGATATCTACTTGCTGAAACGAATCCCGGCGTAGCTAACCTTAATGTGATAGGCACGTTACCATAATCGAATAAAATAATTCGAAGTGGTTTGTATTCTGTCGAAACTGCCAAACGCGGATCGCGATTTCGATCTTTTTGGATCTCATCAGCGCGTCGCAGGCAGCTCCGAAAGAACACAGACTGTGTGATAGAAATCGCGATCCGCGTTTGGCAGTTTTGACAGAATATAAACCGCTTCGAATTATTTTATCCTCCATCCTAATTCAACTTTTCAGGCGAGGCAACCCGATCCTCATGTGTTCTCTATTCAGGTACCATCCCCACCCCACGTGCTCGTTGCTCTAAACACTATGTCGTTTTCGAAGACAGCCTATTTGACCCTAAAACTAGCATAACCTAACCTAACCTAACCCAAAAATGGCTTTTCTTTTTGTGGTATTCGAGCAGCACATTAGAGTACAACAGTAGCACAATTCAGCATAACTGTCCTTTTTTATGTTTTCAAAAATGATGAGGCTGCTTCGGGATATTTAACATGAGATTTGTACTATATATTATCAAAGTTACATTATATGGTTAAAATGAAAAGAGGGATTCTTTTTATGGAAAAAAACGGTTTATGGTAAATGGAATTTAATTAGTACCTAAACTTCGTGCCTTTGTTCTGTTATTTACTATTAAAAATATTTACCATTGAAAATACACATGTAGTATAGATACATATAGGTAGATACGGTTGAAAGTACCCATAATCCCCTATTATTTTTTATTCTTTACAGTTTCGTTTAAAGAAAGCTGATGCGAACCAATACTATATAATTACGTTGCATTAGTTACGGTTATTTTAACAGTAAGTATCTGCGTTGTATGACGAACATCTTCGATAAATTTATTAACTAAGTAGAAAAGGTGTAATTTATTGCTAATTAAGTTGATTTATTTTTACGTATAGTCGACAAGGCGCAAAAGAAACGCATTTGTAGACGCATTGTTCGTTTAATAAATCAGGACAGTAATATAGAAATTAAGTACCTATGCTATATGTTACCAGTCTCATGTAATGTAGTAGTCTATGTGACAACACTGAAAACAGAAGACTTGGAAGGAAATTATGTTAATANGACTACTTACCGATTTTATTTATCGAAAATAAATATATATTTACAGTGCACTTCAGTACTTCAGTAAATTAAAGATAAAATAATTTCAGAAAGAAAACACATGTCAGTTATGAAATGTTTATTTATTTAATTTTAAAATGGTTTCCCACTACCTTAACAAATTCAATGTTTAGAAATTCATGTGCGTCTAGCTTTTTGATGCAATCATCTAGATTCTAGAAAAACTTTATTAGTTTTAGTTTGTCTTGAATTTGACCAATAGAAGGGTAGTCTGATAAAATTATCATTGTTATCGTGATGTCTATAAATGAATAATATTAAGATTAATATGTGATGTGAAGCTGTATTATTTAAACAACTTTTTATGACATTATAGTGGCAATTAGCACTCAAGGTCATCCGCCGCCGTTACGAGGCAATTGATGTATAATTAGGAGGGAATTCGACATACCGAAAATTTTAACCCTAATTAAAAATAGATATA